ACCCCCGTTGGTGTAGTATAAGCTATGCTGGCCCGTACATTTACTGCTACCGTCTCTCCCGTCGTTGGAGGAGGAGGTGGTTTTCGTCTCATAATAACCGGTGAGGCATTCGCTTTTGTACTCTTGTCTCCAGTRTCCATYGGTATGTAATGGCCGTTGTCCATGGTGTCTAGTGCTAGACCAGAAATCAGTGCGTTAACGGCCTCGGCGTCCTGTTGGCTTGTTATTCTTGACGTTGTAGGGGCGAACTGACTGACGGGYCTTGTTGGTAAAACACGACGATGGCGGGGAGGGGTGGGAGGACCTGTTCGCGACTATGAATTGCATTATTAGTCGATTATTTTATTACAATTCGCAAAMATGCTGATAACATAATTTATCAGAATCAGACAGTGATTTTTTTAAGACGGTCGAAAAATACTAAGTCTAAGCTAGTAGTAGATTCGAAATTCATTGTTTTCTTTCTTTAATCRACTACGCAAAAACTAGACAGTCACTTTTCACCGTCGACGGAAAATCACCCTAATTGTCGACATTGCTGTCTTGATTYATATTTACCTTGTCATTAAGACCTTCATCGTCGCTGGGATACGTCTTGTCGAGGAGATCGGCAGGCGAGTCGTAAATCCCGTCAACCTGTGGAAATATTAATGTCAACAAATGAATGGATAAGATAAGAAGAAGGACAATGGTTCTGGTGGACTCCCAGAGGGGTGGGAGGGTAAAGGACAAATGCCGAAGGGCGTAACGATGCTTTCAGACAGCGGGGCTTTAGTGAATAATGAAAGTGTTGCAATGAGCTGATATCATCCCAATCCCTCCCATTCTGGGTTTTGTCTCCACTGCTTCATCTAGAGAACAATGTACTTTCGTTTAACCCAGTTGTAATTCATCGATCTGTGGGACTAAAGCGACCTGGATATGCTACACAAAGTGTTTCTAATCCACGAGTTTCCTACCTGAAGCATTCCCCAGTCAATCTTCACATGTTCACAATGGTTAAGTTTACCCGAAGAGCACTTTTTAAGCTGKAACGATAAATTAGAAATCTTTGTAAACATTTTAAGGGAACCACAGGCAACCCAAACATGCTTTGTTCCACACAGGAATCCCAAACCTACTCACAAGCTCAGCGGTCTCTGTGTGGTCTTCATCTCYAGCGAGGTCCAGAGGTGTTTTCCCGTTTAAATTGGCTGGAACATAAAAGGTAATTTAKTTATTCTTATATTTAAGGCTTCAAACCACTTTTGGGACTAGGGAGGAACGAAGTAATAGCAATAAAAGCAAGAATCCACATTTGAATTTACACAAATGTAGCCTACGACGGACAATACGAATGAATATTGAAAGAATCGAGCCGTGTTCGCTAAAGAAAACATCCGAAGAAATAATCTGTATGCAGAGGTTGCCTTGAATCAAAAAGGGTTTTGAAGCGCTTTCCGTAACTAGAGCTGTTCCCAAATGGCATCGTCTGCAAGTTGCGATTCGAATTATGGCTTGATTGATTGATAACGTCGAATCTTACATGCACTGATTCAACGCTAGAGAGATGAAAAGGAGAAGGAACAATAGACTGGAGGAATTTGCATTGACTTCAGCACATGTGAGATACGACATTGAAAAGGAGGATTAGTATACGCATTCTCTCTGGTGGTTTACCGACTGAAAGGCTTTCAGTTGCTCCTGATCGAAGTAAGATTCTTGCGATCTCGGTTTTCCCCATACGACCTGCAAGGTGGAGGGCCGTGTCTCCATTGCCGTTCGGTGTRTTGACTGCTTTGCTGAAAACAACACAGAAGTCGTTTTGATTGATTCATTGATCGATTCATTGATTGATTGACTGGCTGGCTGATTAAATAAATGATTGCCTGACTGATTGCTTACTTGAYTGGTTGACAATTTGACTGACAGAYTGAATCAATGATTGATTTTAATCATAGCTCACCCATTTTGTGCCAAAAAGTCCACAATGTGTAGCGATTTGAGGTCTTCTTGCTCAACWGCCGCGTGTAGGGCRGTATTCTGGGATGTCTAAAACAAAGTCGAAAAGGTAAGAACATTAACATCACTTCAACCAGGATTTTTAAAATACCCGTGACCTGACACACCTCACGCAGTGAAGATACTTACGTCACCAGGCAGAACACTCGTTAGATCCACTCCTTCGCCAAAACCTTGTAAAACAGCTAAAAAATCACGTGATTTGATCGCTAAATGAAGCTCCTGAAACCCAAAATAGTCATACGTCACGCAATATATAAAATCAGTCACACAATCTTAATTGCGAGACAAATTTCTACGTGGCTGTTTCTGAGTGGTAAGATCAATAGTTATGCAAAGATTAAAATACTTTGTCACGCAATGTTACCGTCACGCAATCTTCAGCTCTTACCTGTAATATCTTTTCTGGTGCTTCGCCGGACTTTTGCGCAAATTCGTGTTTGATATATTTCGCTCTAATAAACTCCTTCTTTTCGTCCCTGAAAGCAACAAACTCGTTGAGTCAAAGGAGGTCGATGTTGAATGCAGAACCTGTTGTYCCCTGTCACGGTGTCACGGTACTCACATGTTGCTTGTAGCCGTTGGTTTTCGATTATAGTCGAGCGTCGCCTCCATGATTTCGTTAAACCCACCATTACCGATAAACTTTGCGAGCTGTAATAAAAATGTAAAAAAAAACACGTAAGAAATCCAAGAATAAAATAAAAATGGAGGTTTTATCGTCTTCATTTTTAACTCGGAGATTGCGTTAGCAATCGTAGAGTTATTGGGAGGGGATGACCTGTCACTCGCTCGCTCGCTCGCTCGATCACTTTCCTGTTCACTTTTGAGACTGCGATGTTTTTTGTCAGCAGTTATTCATTTAATCATATTAATATATTCTACTTACTTGGTCTAAATCGGTCTAAATGGTCTCCCTGTGCTTTTCGATTAATCATTGTTTATATTAATATATTCACTAATTTGGTTACTATAGTAACTTCTATATTATGAAATTCATTTTAGACGGTCCGCCTGTGTTGTTTCAGCTGCGAAATAAATTTCATGTTCCCACTAGGTTTCGAACCCGCGACCTCTGGATTGTACGCCAAGCGCCTTAACCGATTGTGCCACGGTG